GAGTGGCAATAATCCCTTCAGACTGTTTGTGCAATCAGAAAAAGGTTAAAGGCAAAATAAGGCAGTGATATTTCAAAGGCGAGAACATTTCCGAGGAGAAGGTGAAGCAGTGCGAGTGTATTGACCTAGATTTATCAAGCCGGGACAGAATGTTTTCAGATCCTGTGCAGCTCTATCATGGAGGTTTGTCCAAGTGTCTGAAAAATGGATTTTCTGGAGAAATCAGCCATGAGACACGTTCTGGAAATGAATTTAGTATGTCAAAGAGCAGCAAACAGTCACAGCCTGTCGCAGAGCACGTTTCATTATCCTGCGCTATTAAAACCTGGAATTTCATTTATATAGTTTACCAAACATTCTTGCTTCTAGCACAAGAGTTTCAGTTAGTATAAATGTAGTTGTTGTGCCCCATAATATCTGGAGTCAACGCCCAATTTAAATAATGGTAACATGTCAGCTACAGTGCTAGTAAACCCTTACATATAACCAGTTAATTGACTAGCCTCAGGTGAAACACAGATCCTCCTATATATATCAGATCTCAATGGGGAAAATCTCCTGCTGGATATCTATACCGATATGGACTGGGTAATGATGCCCCATCGTTTGATGGACATGAAAATGATCAACCTACAGAGGACTGAATTCAAAGACACCCTGAAAATCAAAGTGAATAACTGATGCGGCAGGCTAGTCCATTTCACTGAAATTTCATTGCAGCAACTCAAAATGGTACTCAGTAGCTTGTATGGCCCTCACGTGCTTGTATGCATGCCTGACAATGTCAGGGCATGTTCGTAATGATACAACGGATGATATCCTGGGGTATTTCCTCGCAGATCTGGACCAGGGCATCACTGAGCTCCTGGACAGTCTGAGGTGCAACCTGGTGGCGTTGGATGGACCGAAACATGATATCCCAGAGGTGTTCTATTGGATTTAGGTCAGGCAAGCTTGGGGGCTTTTCAATGGTGTCAATTCCTTCATCCTCCAGGAACTGCCTGCATACTCTCGCCACATGAGGCCGGGCATTGTCATGCATCAGGAGGAACCCAGGATCCACTGCACCAGCGTAGGGTTTGACAATGGGTCCAAGGATTTCATCCCCATACCTAATGGTAGTCAGGGTGCCATTGTCTAGCCTGTAGAGGTTAGTGCGTCCCTCCATGCAAATGCCTCCCCAGACCATCACTGACCCACCACCAAAATGGTCATGCTGAACAATGTTACAGGCAGCATAACGTTCTCCGCAGCTTCTCCAGACCCTTTCACGTCTGTCACATGTGCTCAGGGTGAACCTGCTTTCATTCTGTGAAAAGCCCAGGGCGCCAGTGGAGGACCTGCCAATTCTGGTGTTCAATGGAAAATGCCAGTCGAGCTCTATGGTGCCAGGCAGTGAGCACAGGGCCCACTAGAGGACATCAGGCCCTCAAGCCACCCTCATGAAGTCTGTTTCTGATCATTTGGTCAGAGACATTCACACCAATGGCCTGCTGGAGGTAATTTTGTAGTGCTCTGGCAGTGCTCATTCTGTCCCTCCTTGCACAAAGGAGCAGATACCGGTCCTGCTGATGGGTTAAGGACCTTCTACAGCCCTGTCCAGCTCTCTAAGAGTAACTGCCTGCCTCCTGGAATCTCCTCCATGCTCTTGAGACTGTGCTTGGAGACACAGCAAACCTTCTGGCAATGGCACGCATTGATGTGCCAACCTGGAGGAGTTGGACAGCCTGGGCAACCTCTGTAGGGTCCAGGTATCACCTCATGCTACCAGTAGTAACACTGACCCTAGCCAAATTAAACACTAGTGAAAAACAGTCAGAAAAAATGAGTAAGGAAAAAAATGTCAGTAGCCTCCACCTGTAAAACTATTCCTGTTTTGGGGGTCGTCTCATTGTTGTCCATCTAGTGCACCTGTTGTTAATTTCATTAACACCAAAGCAGCTGAAACTGATTAACAACCCCCTCTGCTACTTAGTTGACCAGATCAATATCCCAGGAGCTTGACTGGCTTGATGCTATACTCTGATTAAAAAGTGTTCCTTTAATTTCTTTTGAGCAGTGTGCTTTTCTGTACTATTTGGCCTCCATGTGTGTTCTCTTCTCTCTGGGTACTGAGCATCTGCACCCCACCTACAAGCCTCATAGGGAAACATGCACAGCTGAGACTGTCAATCACCTGCTCTGTGATGGGGGGTGGGGCGTTTTCCAGGATTGCCTGGTGTTGCCATTGACTGTCAGACGTTACTCATGCAGATATCAGAGAAATGAGAGAGCGGTCAAAAATAACACTAGGCGCTTTGGACAGAGGCAAGTAAACACTATAGAGGGATATGCTTTGTTCATTTTCAGAGGTTTAAACCTGCGCCTTAAGGAGTACTCAATGCAAATATTAAAATTGCTATCCTAAAGCGGACTTTCTTTCCTCCCCTTCTCCTTAATATAAACTATTGATTTTTTTGTTTGCTTTTTATATCTGGCTCTGTCCTCCTACCACCATTCTCACTTGGCAAGAAACATGTCTCTTCTTCAACAGTCTCCTGGGATATCCACATCACATATCCTAAAAGGCTGCAAAATAGGGACATACACAGCCATGGGCAGAGCTGGTACACATCACTATGGGCTGGCTACCTGAATCTAAAAGAGGCAGCTGACTCACAATGACTAAGTCCTGGTTCACACTAGATTCGAATTTGAAATTTTTAAATTTCAAAGTTGGATTTCAGTGTGACGTTGTGCACAGATTTCAATGCAAAACTGCGCAACTCCCAAAAGTTGGAGTTGCACCAATTAGAACTGTTCCATTGCCAATCAGGACACCATCAAATCGCATGACAAGTCCCATCAGTGTGAACCAGGGTTTAGAAAGACCAAGATAACAGAGTGGGACCTGGGCTGTGACACCCGAACAACAGATCAAATCAGGACAACACTGGATCCATTAGGCAAGTGGGTATGTGAAGTAAAGACAAGCAATCAAAATAGTGAAAATTTGGGGGAGTGAGGTTACTCTTAAAAGTGTATCCAAACCCAAGAATAAAAATGTAATATATTGCAGCTTATTAGTCTTTATATGCGTTGGCTGCATTTGTTTTCTTTCTCTCTTCCTTTTCCTTTATTTTCACCTGGTGATCCTACCACAAAACACTTCCTGTCCTAGGGTGACAACTCTAACCCCCTTAGCACACTGGAGGAGCAGCATTGCCACTCTATCATTCTGTAGGCCAGTCTATTTCAATGATGGAACCCTTGATTTAACTTCCAGTCTCAGTGAACCCCTGCTAATAATTACTATACCTACAGGTCACTGTACAATAGTGTGATGGTCAGTGGGAAGAATACTCCCTACATTTGTGGTCCTTGGGAAAATCCCCCTCTTACAGGTGGCTAAAAAAATGGCGGCACTGGGAGCTTTTCTGGGAGGCAGAAATTGCTTATTGATCAAGGAGCCTCTAGCAACCTTTGGAGCAGACCTGGGCAAATTGTGGCCCCAGGGCCATATCTGGACCTTTGGTTGTCTCTATCTGACCCTTGTTGCCTCTCTGTGCCTGTCAGCTTTCTTATGGAGGCATGGGATGTCTGTGTGGAGAGCTGCAAGAACTAGAAGGAAATAGCCTGAGGAGCTGATCAATTCTGGTAGGAGAACGTTGCCTAAGAGACGTCCCAACGCTCTCCCCACCATTCTGCTACCCATTCAAGTGTTAGCGCCTGCATGCTGCAAACCCTAGGAGCCATGCCCCTGTTCTTCACTTCTGGTCAGGATCGGCAGAAATTCCCTACTGCACTGATCTCATGATCTCTCTTTCCAGTCACAGTGCTTTACAGAGAGCATTTGACAGGCAGTGAGGATGTGTTATATTGCCTCCCCATCCCCTGATTTAACCCTACAATGCACGTGGTTGCAGCGTGGTCTTACTGAACTCAATGGGTGAGTTTGACAAGTGGTGCTGCTTGTCAAACTCTGCACTCCGAGATTCTTTGCTTTGCAGCTGTGGCAGGTGAACAACCTCATCCGACTGTTATTTTACAGTTGGGAAGCTACCAGTTTTTACCCCCCCCCCCAACTGCCCATCTGAAAGAGCAATTGTACCTATTATTTCTAGCGTCAGCTGTTTATTGTTCTATATGTATAAATACTTGGGGATTTTCTCAGGTCCAAAATTAATATTGAGACTAATTACATTTGCCCCTCCATAACAGTCCCAGTTCTCACGTGGCCCCTTGGGGAAATTAAATACCCACCCCTGTTCTGGAGAAACCCTAGTTGAGAAAGGCTGCTCCCCTGGTTTAGACTACAAACACCTCCCCTTTTTCTAATACATAGGCAGCAGGGTTTTATTAGTTCACAGAAAATGTACCATCTTCTTGTTTAATGTCAGTCCTTCGACCCAGCACTGCTACCTGGTTCTCAAACCATACTGCTGTACTATACAAAAAACCTTTTTGTGTCAGTCAATGCATAAAGCAAAATTAAAGTCCAAATATATTAGTCCTCTGTGTCCAACTTCAATATTCCCATACATCCAGATCAGCTGTGTACCTCAAAAATAAAACTAAAATAGTGCATTACCTCAATTACAATCAGAATATACTTTAACAACCAATAAGTATATACTTATATGTTTATACTGCTGTACTAACAAACTTTTTGCTGTCATTTTTGTATTGTTCAGCTGGCCAAATATTGGAGCCATTTCACTGTTCAACTGCATTATTGCATTATAAAATTAAATAAAATAAAAAAAATTACTTAATCTGAAAGAAGAAGAAAACAAGTGCAGCCACTTGTTCTTGAGTTTAGATATACTTATTGTAACAGAAATAAATGTAGGTGTACTTTAAAACCAACTTAATATCAAACATTTTCTGTGGTTCAGTCGCTCCCACTTGAATAGTATTGTCATTCCACTGATTTTAATTTACTTTGGAGTTGAACACTGGTCCGCACTTTATCACTGATACATGGATATAACTTTACCATATATTTGTTTTATTTACAGGACAATTTCTGCTAAAACCCACCACCAGGCTGTGAATTTCAATATATTTGAAGGAATGGTCTGCCACGGAGTACCTCTGGTGACTATTGCAGGCGGGAGGGTAGTGTACGAGAATGGTATCTTGCACGCAGTCCCAGGCCATGGCAAATACATTCCACGCAAACCGTTTCCTGACTACGTCTACAGCCGTATCGTAAAAAGAGATGATGTAAGTCAACACAAAGTCATTTATTTTACACCGTTTGTTGCTTTTAAATCCTGCTAAAGAAAACTTAAGTTACTAATCAGGCTGAAGGATTTTCCATTACCATTCAGAGTCCTTGAATCTACTACAACAATGTAACTGTTACAATTTGTTCAAAGTGCAGCTATAAATCTGAATACTAATATGACTTGCCAAAAAAGATTTTAAATATCCAACAAACTGAGCTATTAAGACTTAGCTCCGCCTCCTGTGCAACAATCTCTCATTTATTCTGACAGCACAATGTTGTTCACTGACTGACACCAGCACCAGGTATTCTAGATTATGGAATGATCTCCACTAGGCAGCTGGCAATGGAATTTAGCATTCTGTATGTTATATCAGACTTTCTGGCAGATTTATTCAAGTATCACCGAAATAGGAAAATGATGGAGTAGGCAGGAAAGATATGGCTAGTTTATAAATGTGACTTTAAACAGGGCTCCATCTAAAACTATTATTATTGTTTTTGTGGAGGTTGTTCATACTTTGCCATAATTAACTTTCCTTCATCCTTGTTCTTTTCCTCCACTCTCTTGGGTCTCTAATTCTATTCAGTTACTTCCTTTCCTGCTTCTTCTTTGCTCCTTTTCTGTTCCTTCTCCTCTCCTTTCCTCCTTTTCCTCTCCTCCCCTTCTTCTCCTTTCCAGATTCTCTTTTGCTCTGTCTCCTCTCCTCTTTTCCTCCTTCTCCTCTTCTCCTTCCCCTTTCCTCCTTCTCCTCATCTCCTTCTTCTTTCCTCTTTCTCCTTTTGCCTTCCTCCTTCTCCTTCTCCTCTCCTTTCCTCCTTTTCTTTTGCTCCTTCTCCTCTCCTCCTTCTTTCCTCCGTCTCCTCTTCTCATTTCCTCCTTCTCCTCTCCTTATTTTTTCCTCTTTCTCTATCTCCTTTTCTCCTCTCCACTTTCCTCTCTCCCCCTTCTCCTATTCTAGTTCTCTTTTCAACTCCCTCTCCTTTTGTACCTTCTCCTCTCCTCCTTCTCTGTACCTCCTCTTCTGCTCCTTCTCTGTACATCCTCTTCTCCTCCTTTTCATTTCCAGTTTCTCTTTTGCCCCTTCTCCTCTCCTGCTTCTTTCCTTCTCCTCTCCTCCTTCTCCTTGCCTCTTCCTCCTCTCTACCTTCTCCTCTCTACTCCCCCTTCTCCTCTTTCCCTTCTCCTCAACTCCCTTTTCTTTTCTACTACTCCTCTCCTCCTTCTCTGTACCTCCTCTCCTTCTTCTCCTTTCTTTGTTCTCCTCTTCTCCCCCTCTCCTTTCCGCTCTTCTCCTCTCCTTTCCTCCTTCTCCTCTCCTCCTTATTTCCTCCTTCTCTTATTCTCCTTCTCCTCTCTCCCTTCTCCTCTCCTCCTTTTTTCTTTTCCTCCTTTTCTGTTCCTTCTTCTCTTCTCTAATCTCCTCTCCCCTTCTCCTCTCCTCTTTCTCCTCTTCTCCTTATTTCCTCTCGTCCTTTTACTCTGCTCCTTCTCTTTTCCTGCTTCTCCTCTCCTCTTTCTTTTTTTTTTTTTCTCCTTTACTACCTTGCTTATCCTTTGCTCTTTTTTCCCTTTTCTTATCTTCCCCTTCCTTCCATCTCTTCCATCTACTTTTTCTTTTTTATTTCATTTCTTTCTTTTTTCTTTCCCTTCTTTCTTCCATCTTCCTCCTTCCTTCCTTCCTCCTTCCTTCCTTCCTTCCTTCCTCCTTCCTTCCTTCCTTCCTTCCTTCCTTCCTTCCTTCCTTCTTTCTTTCTTTCTTTCTTTCTTTCTTTCCCTGTCTTGAATATCAATTTTTATTCTTCTTACATTCCCTTAACCATCATAGATAGGAATTTCTATCCATTTCCTTGCTTGGTGATTATTAGTAATTATTGCCCTCTTTTAGAATACAGTTAGTACACACGTTATATACAGTAACTGCAGCAACCATCTGTCATTTCTCAGAGCTGGAAGAGGACCAGTGGATGGGTGCCATGATTTTTTGTTTGCTTATTTATTTTTAAATAAAAATAGATGTAAAGAAATCGTGGAGCTGAACCCGTGGAGCAGATTTTCCTCATCTGTGTTTATATTGCAGAGAAATTCAGTGTGTGTGTAGCAGTTTGCATAATAAAAGAGAGAATTCCCATCAGTAATGAAATGTTTGTACAGGTATGTCAGCCACTTCCCGTACAAAGACAGCCTTATAAAGGAGAGGTCATCCAACTGAAGTGA